TAATTGAGCATTCTCAGTGCAAAAATTGCCACGACGGGTGGCATTGAGCATGCCCACCATACCCCCCCGACAAATGGCATGTCGATTGCAAGCCAAAATGAAAGAAGAACGGTCACCACAAAAGAGCATGCATTCAATATAGCGCCCATGGCCGCAAAATTGACATATAGTGTCCGGATGAGGAGGGTGCCTGCAGTCAGGAACGGCGGGACAGTCCTCTGCACACATGGATGTAAAAACCATGTCATTGTAGTAATTGCGAAAGAGACGATGGCGACTACAGCCGAGTGTAACAGTGTTTGTGGCTGTGCAAAGGAGAAGGTCGCAGAGTGTTGGTACATTGTCTTGCTGCATCACGGGGCCAGAGGAATGATCTTCAACATAAAAGAGATTGCAGACGGTTTGTTGTGGCAAGAAAATAACATCATTTTGTAAGAAATCGGTGACATCAATCATGGCATGGACCGTGGTGCCGTTGTCCCACAACTCCCAGTGGTCAGAGGCATGTACAATGGCCATGTAATGGCCAAGGCCGTGCAAAATCCAGGCAAAGATGTGGGATGGAGGATTAAACCACTCACCAGCTCGACCATTGCGTAGTTCAAGTTGAAGGTCCCTCATTGCTACTTGTAGGACAGCAATGGTAAAGCCTCCTTCGCTGGTATAATAACAATCCTTTGGCTGTCGTTGGGGAAGATCAGCATCAAGTTGAAGGGCGATTGCAAGGAAGTCTGATGGTGTATAAAACGGGCGGTGGAGAATGTGAAGACAGATATTAGTTGTTGTCAGACCACAGAGATTGATGCGGTTCTTAGGCTGGTTTGTTGGATGCTGACCAACAATTTGCAGATCACCCATATGGTGTTGCAAGCCCAAACTGTGTTGGGTTGTTTGCTGGTCAGTCATTTGCAGATCACCCATGTGGTCAGCGCGTGGCGGAGCACACAATTGTGGTTCATCCGAACAATGTTGGTCAGCCATTTGCAGATTCCCCATGTGGTCTACGCCTTGTGGGGTCAACTGCAATCCGGGTAGATCATGTTCCAATCCCTTAACGTTTAGGGCTGCATCCTGAGTAGGGACTGTACCTGGAGTCGAGAGTGTACTCTGGGCAGCGGTTGCATCCTGAGGAGGGACTGTACCTAGAGTCGGGAGTGTACTCTGGGCAGGGACCACATCATGTTGTACAGGTGAGTCGTGAATATCCAACGTCGCAGGGTACCGTGGATGCCTGCAGGCAGCTGGACTGTCTGCAAGAGGCATAGGAGCGGATATTGTCGTTTGAAACAAGGAACCGCAACAACCTCTAGAGGAGGCACAGAGAGAATCGGGGCAGACAAAAAAATAGGTTGCTGATCCCTGGACAAGTGACGATGCCGCGGATGTCGTCCGTGATACACAACAAGAGGAGTAGTGGTGTTGCAAATAAAAGTTGAACTTGTACCTAGCAACGAAGGTGGAACAATGAGAACAATGGAAACTGGAGAGTCTGTTCGGAACGCAGCCGTCTACGGCCAACCACAAACAAAGATGAGAGGGGGGTGCATTGGGCAAGATTTCGAAGCTGTAGTGCTCTGGTTGGCCTATGAGACCAGCCCCTTGGCCTGTTCCCACATGCCTGTGTTGTATTCGGGGTAGTCCAGTCCAGGCTTGTACCTCTGTCGGTAACAGCCAGTCCAGTCCAGTCCAGTCAGTCTGCTGTGGTATACCCCAGCTAGAGTCTGTACTTGGTTTCATTCTACATTCGCACAATCTGGAGTACACTTGTGTGGGAGCTGCATTGTGTCATCTTGCTCCACCCTCATCCTCCATCTCCATATCTATCCCAGGCGGAGCACCTCACCCGGTGGGTCCGCCACACTGGTATCAGAGCGGGAACGTTCCCCACTCCCACCCACCACACCGAACAGTGTGCAATACTGTATTTTGACCGTTTTCAGAGAAAAGCAGTGGGAAAAAGTGACGACAGGTGCAGCAGCAAGGGAGTGACACGTGTCGAGAAAAGAGAGAGGTTCGTCGCACACGCATGCGCCTACGCTGCCCAGCTGCCCCATCCCGCCTCGCTCCCGGATTAGTTACATCAAGATCCAGGATGCATGCTGCTACCAGGGTTTGAACCTGGGCAGCTGCTGGCCATGCGCGTGCGTAGCCAGTGCTGTAACACACTGGCCAAAGTATCTAAATGGCTCAATAAAGCGGCATGCTGATGTTGAAGAGTGTTGTGCCAGCTATTTACCCCCCCCTTCTCTCTCTCCCCCCTCCACCATCTAATTACTTTTTCTAACTCTACCACTACTCTCTCCTCTTACCTCCCTCTTCACTCATCTTCCATCATTTTTTTCTCTCCTTCCCTTCCCACTCACCATCTTCTACTAATCTCTTCTCCTCCTCTCCACCTTTCTCATCCCTTTCTCTCCCATTCTCTCCCCCTCCTCTCCCCCTTCCCTCCCCTAACTACAAACCCCATCATCCCCCCCCATCTCCCACTTCAATCTTTTTCTCTTTCTCACCTATTTCTCTCTTTCTTCTTCACTTTCTCATCCCCCTCCCCCCCAACTTTGAATTTTTTTTGTTTTGTTTTTTTTAATTTAAATTCCCTTTTTTCTTCAAAAATTTGAATTTTTTTATTCTCTACTTCTTTTCTCATTTTTTTGATTTATTTTATTTTTATTATTATTTTTTTTTCTTTTCTGAAAATTCGAATTTTTGTGCGGCACCTCTATATCTGTTTAGGACTTAGTTATTTCAGCTCTCGGCGAACATTTTGACCCCGTGGGGGTAACGAACTGCTGCTGAAATTTTCTTTTTTCTCCCTACTCTCTCCCATGTTACTTAGTCATATCTTTTGCCGGCACACTTCGACCCCATGGGGGTAACGAAATGCTGCCGAAATTTTTGAAAAATCCAACACTTCGTTTTTCTTCCCTCTCCACCTCCCCATTTTTTTTTTTTTATTTGATTATTCTTTATTTATTATTTTTTTGAAAATTATCATTTGCAACATTATCAAATTTAGTGTGCTTGTCTTGGTCTCCCCTTCCTCTTGGCACATTTTTGACCCCATGGGGGGTAGGGAAATGCTGCCGAAATTCCAAAACAATAAATATTATTTCTCTCTTCACATCTTGTTTACTTTTTCTTTAATTATTTTTATTATTTATTTATTTTTTATTTTTCTCTCTCGAAATTTTGCTGTTTATTTATTTTTCTCTCCCCCTCCCCTCCATGGTTGCTATTTTCTTTTCTTGATTAGGTCACCGCTACGGTACCCTAACCACCCAAACTCCGGTTAGGGTTTTGTTAGGGTTTTTCTAGGGTTTAGGGTTCTCCTAACCCTCCTATTTGCCCATCATCCCTTCTCCCTACTTCCCCGTCCCATTCGGGCACCCTGGACCCGAACCACCCCTCCCCCTTTGATGGCAACCACGTTAGACTCACTAGCGCCACCTGTCGCTTTCTACCGCAGACCCCCCTACGCCCTCCGCTCACGCGGACCTCCTTTGGCCCCCTCTAGTCCAGCCCGTCACCTCCCGCGGCGTGTCACAAGCTGCCAACGTGGCGACGACCTCGGCACCGGGGTCCACAGCCGTGCCGGTGGACCAGGGTCATCAGCCCCAGAGGATATGCACACCCTCCTCACCTCCTTCCTCACGCCCATCCAGACACAACTAGCGACTCTTACGCCCTTACAAGCGCAGGTGCCGCTGGCATGCGGCAACTCCAGGACATTGCCCGTCCTTCCTCTCCAAACTCTCTCTCTTCTCCTTGCTCCCAGTCCGGGTCCCCAGTCCTCCGACATGGTGGCCACGGTGGAGCTTCCTCCTCCGCTGCCCCCGACCCGACCATCCTGGTGACCATCCACTCTCCTAGCTCGATGGCCACCACGGGCCAGACCTTCCCTCACTCCACGGGCGCACCCGCCCAGACTCCGCTCACTACGGCCACGGGACCACAACCCTCTGCCGCAGTCTCATCTTTTCCGGGTGCCCCGCTTCTCCCTCCCCTTCGCACGAGCGCAACGCCACCTGGCTCTCCCCCTTATGGGATGCCCCGCGCCGCTCGTGCGTCTAGTTCCCCTACTCCTCCTACAAATCCTCGCTCGATCTATGTCTGACGTCTCGAGGCCGAGCTTGCCCAGACCCGGGCCGACCTCGCCCCCTTACGCCTTCAACCACCCCTACCCTCACAAGTGGCCGCGCCTTCGGGCGTTCCCCCTTCTTCCTCTACTCTTCCATTCCCTCCCCTTGCACCCCCTCCATCCCCGTCCTATCTCCTTCCTACTCCATCGGTTGCTGCGACCTCTTCTACCGCAGCTCCCGCACAGCCTGCCGTTGTTCCCCCCGCCGCTCCACCATGCGGCCCGGGTGTACTTCTCCAGGACCTGCGTTGACTTACTCGGTCGTAGCGCAGGTCCTTGCTCCTCGATCTCCTCGCCGCCAAAACGGTGGCGCACCACTCGTCCACTTGATGAACATTGCCTTGTATGATGGTAGAGGGATACTCGTGTCTCGGTGGCTGCAGTCTGCCACCTGCACGCTCCGACTCATGGTCGTCCCACCTGATCAGTGGGTGACTCACCTCTCCACACGCCTGCGTGGCGATCCTTTCGACGTCTGGGAGGATTTCTACACTCACTCCCTTCATGAGGGTCGGACCTCGACCTTCATGGATTTCTAGGCGTTCCTCGAGGATCGCTTCGGAGCCCGACACGACGTGACCGACGCCTTCGAGCGTGTTGTCAGTACACGCTGGTCCGGCTCTGGTGGCGCTACCGGCTTGGACCACCACATCCTGGTCTTTCTGGACGCCCGCCTCATTTGTGATGTGGCGTTCGTCCCCGAGGCTGCCCTCATCGATCGCTTCTTGGCCAGCTTCCCCTTGAGTACCGCTCCGAGTTATGGCGGTATGTCTTCACATCGGGCCCGCAGGCCTACGAGGCCACAAGGGCCCATCGGCGGATGCGGGGCCGTCTTCACCCTGCTTCCTCCTCCCCACCTCACCGTACTGGTTACACTCCCTCCTTCTCTCACGACACTTCCCAACGCCTTTCCCATTTTCACGGTCGTCCCCGCCATTCTGCGCAGCAGGGCCCCCATTTCTCGCGCCGCTTCAGCGCGCTCGAGTATGGTGAGCAGGACGTTGTTGCTCCGTTGTCCCTTGAGGGTGACCATAGTGATGACCTCGATCTCTGCGAGGCCGTCCACTATCACCTGGAGGACTCTACCGTCCCTATAGTCGAGCGCCTCCAGCTCACCCTTTCCACCCTCTCTTGAGCACGCAGCTACTCTAGTCACACTGGCGTGTCGTCCCCTGAGGTCGCTTAGCAGGACCTCCCTTAGGGCTTCGTCCCTGCTCGCGGTGTCCTTTTCGCTGAGGAGCGCGCGACCATTTTGGGCCGGTGTGGGTGTTTGTGTTGCCGCCAGGACGGTCATACCTCCTCGTGGTGCCCTTACACCACAGCCCTCGACCACCACTATGCCGAGCTTTCTCGCCAACGTCGTGCTTAGTCCCCCCCCAGTGCCTCGCATTCCCGCGACGCCTCCTAGCCACGGTGCAGCGTAGACCTCCGCCCTCCTCAGTCGTCGGCTTCCCGACATCTTCGTCACGATTTGCCCCTCTCACTACTGGAGTTGAGGTATCACAGGACCCGACAGAGTGGACTCAGCCCTCTGTCGTAGTACCGCCTGCGCTTCCGTAGACCACCATTTGCCCTCCCACCTTTCCGCGATTACCGACGCGTCGAGCCATTCGCTCAGCCCATTGTCGCGAGCAGCTTGCGACTCGCGAGGACGTTGTGTCCTTCGTTTTGGACTTGAGCATGATCCAGGCTCGTGAGGAGCGACTCACCCTCGATGTCGCTGCACGACGTCGCCTTCTCGCCATCCTCTTTGACCCTGATAGCACCCTCCCGATCATTCCAGTACGACTCGAGACCTCCACGAGGGTGTACTTAGCGCTATGGGATTCCGGTTCTCAGGGTGACTTCATTCACCCACTGGTGGTGAAGGAAGCACGCTTACCCACAGCAGGGTCTCCGACTCTCATCTCTGTCACCCTATGAGATGACAAGACCCAATGCTTCTTCGATCAAACGGTCACCGACCTCCCTTTCTTCCTCACCCACGAGCCGACTGATCGTTCCCCGACGTCTCGTCGCCACCGCTCCTCTACACATTTCGTTGTGATGGAGACGGAGTACGATTTCATTCTCGGTACTCTGTGGTCTCGTCGGTTCTGAAGCACCGAGGCCGATTGGGTGACCAACACTCTCGTTCTCAAAACGAAGTGTGGACAGATGTATCGCATACCTTTCATAGGTACCACTGCGACACCATGCCCCGAACCTCCTCTCCCAGAGCCTTTTGTGCCCACACCATCTCCTACTATCACCGTCACATCGCCTCGACAGTTCGCTGACTTCATCCATTAGGACAACGTCACCTTCTTTACCATGAACGTTACAGATCTCTTGCACTATGATCCACCCTGTCTCGACGCCGAGCTCATCTCTCGGGAGCCAAATCCTCCTTCTATCTACATGGCTCCCATCTCTACTTCCTCCTTCCGTTGTCTGTCGAGTCCAACCCGTCATCATGCGCCTGCGCTGACGCTGAGGAACTCACAAACTATACGGTCGACCTGGAGCCCGCAGTTCATGACCTCATTCGAGAGTACCGCAACGTTTTCCCATCGTCATTCTTGTACACCAGCATCCCACCGATGCGTGACGTCGAGCACTCCATGCAGCTTGTGCCTGACTATCGTGTTCACCACCAGGTACCCTACAGACTCTCGATCCCTGAGGCCACCGAACTCAAGCGTCAACTTGAGGAGCTCCTGAGACTGGGTTTTATTAAACCCAACAACTCCTCGTGGGGTGCACCCATCCTCTTTGCTCGCAAAGCGGATGGAACTCTTCATCTCTGCATCGATTATCGCGGTATCAACCACTACACAGTTAAGAACAACTACTCCATGCCTCGTTCCAACGAGTTGTTCGACCACCTAGCAGGCAACCGCTTTTTTACAAAGATTGATCTTTGTAGCGGTTACCATCAGATCCGCGTCCCTGCAGCGAACCAATTGAAGACAGCGTTCTGATCCCGCTTTGGCCACTACGAGTTTACGGTGATGCCATTTGGCCTCACCAACGCACCTGCTACCTTCCAGACGACGATGAACGACATCTTCAGGGACATCCTAGAGCAGTACATTCTCGTCTACCTCAACGATATCTTGGTCTACAGTCGTACCCTTGAGGAGCATCTCAGACACCTCCGCGACGTCCTTGACCGCTTGCGTAGACATGGTTTCTACGCCAAGCTGAGCAAGTGCCACTTTGCCCAGTGCAAAGTGGATTTCTTAGGACACTGAGTATCGGACCAGGGTCTCCACATAGACGACTCGAAGATTGCTTCTATTGCGGATTGGCCTAACCTCAAGCCCGTTAAGTAGCTTCGCAATTTTTTTGGACTTACGAGTTATTACAGTAAGTTCATCAGAGCTTACGCCTCCTACTCGCAAGTCCTTACCTCTACCCTCCTTCGGAAGAACCAGCTACGAGTTTGGACACCCCTCCACGAGGATGCCTTCCACGCCCTCAAGAAGGCGGTGACATGTGCACCGGTTCTCCTCCTACCCGATTTTCATCGTCCTTTTATCCTTACCACCGATGCGTCCGACTTTGCTGTAGGAGCAATGATTTCTCAACTTTTCCCCTCCTCTCCTGATTCCTCTCATCCCTCACTTCCCACCTCTTACCCCTACCACGGCTTCCCGCCTGACGCCTACTCGTCCAGCTACTGACGCGCCTTCTATTGACTATTCTCCTACCATCGCTGATGACGGCACCGTCGAGTCTCGCTCAGGTGATTGTCCGATAGCCTTCTACTCTCATCAGCTTCTGCCCGCCAAGATAAACTACACTGCTGATGAACGTGAGGTTCTCGCAGTAGTTTATGCCACTCGACATTGGCGTCCTGCACGGGGCATCATTCACGGTGCGCACAGACAACTCTGTTGTCCAGGCTTTTCTGACAAAGTCGAAGCTCACTCCTCGTTAGGCTCGTTGGTGGCGTGACCTATCCGAGTTTAGTTTCACCACTAAGCACATCAAGGGTGAGACCAATCGGGTCGCAAATGTCTTATCCCGGCGCCCTGACCATGATCTAGACTAGATCCAGCTCGCTGCCATCTCGGTCACCACCATCCACCACTCAGTGACCGATGAGTTTCGCACTCAGTACCGCCACTGCACCGACTATCGCGACATCCATGCGACCCTTCGGAGTGGCAAGACTGTCCCGAACTACTCTGTTGGGGACAACGGTCTTGTGTATTGGCACGGTTCACAGGGCACCAGAGAGCCCCGCATTTGTGTTCCCTCCACCGGACAGCTACGTGTCCGAGCAGTAGCAGAGTTAGTCGCCGGTCATATGGGCTTCCACAAGACGTTGGCTCGTGTGAGCCGCCTGTACGTCTGGCCGAAGCGCAAGGATTTTGTGAAGGACTACGTCGCATAGTGTCCCACCTGTCAGGAGGTGAATAGTGCGAACCACCTGCCTTATGGTTTGCTCCAACCTCTTCCTATTACCGAGGGTCGGTAGCAGTCCATTTCGATGGACTTCATCGGTCCTCTTCGTCCTTCGACCCCCCGCGATCATGATGCTATCCTGGTCATCGTCGACCTTTTTATGAAGCGTGCACGCTTTGTTCCGTGCCGCTATGCCATCAGTGCATGTGAGGTCGCCGACATCGTGTTTGACCGAGTCGTGCGTGACCACGACTTACCCCTGAGCATCATATCTGACCGTTACCCGTGCTTTACCAGCCGATTCTAGCGACCGCTCCAGGAGGTGTACGGCACCGAGCTCCGTTTCTCCTTGTCTTACCATCACCAGACTGATGGTCAGACCGAGGTCACGAACAGGACTCTCGGAGATATTCTCTGAAAGATTGTTCGTGGCGACCAGCAGTGGGATCTCCATCTTGCCCACGCGGAGATAACCTACAACCTCGCTGTTTCGCCAGCCACGGGGATGTCGCCTTACTATTGCAACCTCGGTTATCACCCTCGTGTTCCCGCGGACTTCCTTCAACCGTGACATATGCACCCCGACACGAGTTGTCCCACGTTGGATGATTGGGTTGCACACATAACGTTGATTGTGCAGACCACGCATGAGCACATAGCCGCTTCCCAGACTCGTATGGCCGTGCATGGGAACCGATCGAGGATGGATTATCCATTCAAAGTCGGTGATGATGTGCTTGCCGATGCCCGCCACTTACAGCTTGAAGCGAACACGCTTCGCAAGTTTCGGCGTTGCTTCTTTGACCCATGCCGCATTCTCTAGGCCGTCGGTTTTGATACGGCATCGAGCCCGGTCAGCTTCCGTGTGAAGCTGCCCGACTACCTACGCCAGGCTCGTGTGCACGATGTCTACCACGTCTTGTTACTGTGTCCCTATCGCAAACTGTCCGAGCGTTTCGCTAGACGACTATAAGAGCGCCCTCCACCCATCATGGTGGACTGCCACGAGGAGTTCTTCGTTTCCGACATAATCGGTCGCCGAGTCACCGACGACAACCCTCCTCACGTCGAGTATCTCGTATGTTGGAAGGGTTATCCTGATGAGGAGGCTACTTGGGAGTCCCTCGAGCACTTGCAGCACGCTCGCATGTTGGTGCGTGCCTATGACCGTGCTCGTCGTGCTGGGTTGATTGCTCCTCCTCAGCCCACCGACCCTCTTCCTTCTCCCTTGACTGAGGAGACTGCTGAAGTCGAGCCTGCTCCATCTGAGGCAGACCAACAGCGGCAGCTAGATGCTTATGAACGTCCACAGCGCACTCGTTGTCGTCCTGTTCGATACGACAATTGACTTCGACTTCTCTTCCCACGTCCTTGGCTTCTCAGTACTCCATCCACACCAATTTTGCTACTTTATCTCGTCGAGGTTGCGGCTCTTCCTTGACGAAATTCCGAACTTCTCTTCATGGACGTCATTCGCAGCTCCACGGACTTCGTCACGATCAGCTCTACCTACTTCAGACGTCGTCACTCTCTTACCACTTTACCGTGTACAGTACCCTGGTTGTGTCGCCTGATGGTCTCCCTTAGCCGGGTTCCTCTAAGTTGGGCTCTCCCTTGGTATACGCATAGGCATCGGGACCATAGCGTTGCCCTTGTTTCCCAGCTTACGGATTTAGCTCCGACTTCCCTCACTTTAGGAGTCATTTGCATGATTCTCTTACCCATCACTTTTTCTACCCTCTGCCGGCCCTCACGCCCTAATTAGGCAGCCTTGCATGCTTCATCTAGATGCGCCCAGTATACCAGGCTCCCTTATTCCGTTGCATGGTCGACCTTACATAGCGGTTACCCCTTTAGTCGAGCATTACCCGCCCTGATGGTCTATCTGTTAGGGTCATTGGTTTTGTTCGCTCCCGGTTCCCTACCCTCATTGAGCCTGATGGCATGTGTCTCCTTGTCATTATATGTGGATGCCCTTAGGAGTTTATCGACCCCTAGGCTGCATTCGACACCCTCAGAGACCATCCCACCCTGTGGTTTGCGGCACACCTTTCCTGTGACATATGGTTGTCTTGTTATTGTTTTGTTGCTCTCAAATTGAGGCCTCTACCTCTGACCTTTCTATGATGTAGTTGTCTTTGCTTTGGCTGTTCTTAGGACTTGTATACTAGTCAGCGGTTTCCAGA